TTATCCACTAGGACACTGGACCTCTTTCTTTTGAGAGTCACTGAGAGAGCGTCTGTGTTCATTTTCAGTCTTCAGAATGCAGCTCAGAAATTCCAGACCCTAGTGAGCTGAAGGAAAGAGGGAGAAGGGGCTCCTATTTTAGAACAGGGAAGGCAAAGATGGATGGCTTCACAGGCGACATGGTGTCTTGCTAAGAAAGCTTCACGCGCTTCCTGGTCTCATCATGTGGTGTGTGCCATACCCTCACCAAGCAGGCATTTGGGTGGGGAAGTCAGTGATATGGCTGAACTTCCAGGAACTCATGTAAAGACTTTAGGAACAAGAAACACATTACAAGCCGGGCGGTGGTGGCGCACGCCTTTAATCCCAGCACTCGGGAGGCAGAGGCAGGCGGATCTCTGTGAGTTCAAGGCCAGCCTGGTCTACAAAGTGAGTTCCAGGAAAGGTGCAAAGCTACACAGAGAAACCCTGTCTCGCTGTCTCACAAAACCAAAAAAAGAAAAAAAAAGAAACACATTAGGCCATGAGTGGAGTTTTCCCTTAAACTGACTGGAGATGTATTTGAGTATTTATTTCAGAAGGGGAGACAATACAAAAAAGAAGAAAAGAAAGGAAAAGATAAAGATAAAAAGAAAGAAAGAATGCAGAGAAGGTACAGGGGCATAGACAATAGAAGAGGAACTCTTGGGTCAGCTACCTCAGTGAGAGCTGGAGGTCAATCCCTTTAGACAGAAACCATTGGGCATAATGCAAAGAAAGCATCTCAGAAGAGCCCCAGTTATGAAATGAAGGACTTGGGGTATTTATGCATGAAGTGTAAAACTTTTAAGCATGTATACAAGAGCAACAATTCTGGATTGTTGCAGAGAGGAAGCAGAAAGTCCATTCCTCTTTGCACTCTGAGTCACTGTCATTGAAATACATGGTTCTCCACAGTTTTAGCTGGAAAGTGGGAGGCGGATCCCTTGGGAAGACATGCAGATACTGGTGAGTGAAAGCTTAGGGGCCGAAAACTCCATGGACATGGGTGGGACACTCCAAGTCTATATCAAGGTATACTCACTACAGCTTGCTGATAAATCCTTAAATCCTTACACTGGCTGCTTCTGAGGCAAGCCTGGAGAAAGTACATTCCTAGATGAGAATCGGGAAGGAGAAACATAGCTATTTTGTATTGGTGCTGCCTTTAGGCTATTGCGCAGATGATAATGAAGAAACTACACACAGTATTTGACCTACAGTCTATTAACCTGGTCCCCAGGTAAGTCAACGAGTGGAGCAGTCAGAGCCTAACTAAAAGTTATATTTAAGTAACAAGTTCCAGGGCTTCACAGAATTTACTGACCCAGGATTTGGTTGACATCTGCATTGATCTAGGCTGAGACAGTGCAGTAAAACAAATCAAAGTGCTCCTCCTATCTTTCGACAGAGGGAGTGACCTGGACATTGGAATTTGTGCTTACCTTCCTCCAAATCTCCGAACTCCTCTTCCCAAGAGGTATTGTAGCATAAACAAGGCCCAGGGAGTCTGTGGCCACAGGAGACCAGAGTGTCAGTTGGGCTTTTGTAGGTGAGAGCTTTGTGTGTCTTGAACAAGTCAGAGAGAAATTGCCCACTGTTATCACAGGTCAGGGGCCTAAAAAATGGAGCCATAGACCTGTTTTAGATACCATGTTGTTTTCTTCCTAGTAAAAACCTGGGGAGATAGCAGGTATCTGCAGTACAGCCAAACCCAGGAGTTTATACACATAGCAAAGGATGGAGGAACCTGGAGCATCCCCCTGGCACCCCCGAGGGAAGGGTTAATGAGCACCAGTTCAGGACCTTAGAAGAGACAGCAGTATGAAAAGAGGACTGACTACCATAGCTAGGACCAAAAGGGTCCCCTAAAGGACCTTTAGGTTAAAGATTTGGTTGCCAGCCTCTGGCACTATTGGGAGGCAACAGAACCTTCAGGAAATGGGGCCTGGTGTGACATTAGATCACTTGAGGTAGCTCTTGGAGCAGATACAGGGATCGTGGACCCTCTTACTTTTCTGCTTTGCTTTCTGGCCACCGTGAAGTGAAAAGTCTTCATCTACCATGGGCCGCCACTGTGCCAACATAGGCTCAAAGCAATACAACCAAGTGACCATGAACTGAAATCTCTGAAACTTCAATCCAAAATGTGTTCTTCATCCCTTCAAGTTGATTATCCTGGGTATTTCTCAGCAATGAAAAGCTAACGGAAGGATCCAGCATTTGAGTAAGAGAGAATGGGAATGAGGGATGGGTAGGAAGAGAGGGAGGTGTGGTGTGAAATGCCTTCCTTCTGAAGGCCCAAGCCTGCTAGTCCTTCATTTCCTTGTGATAAAGGGAAAGAATAGTGATAAAATTCCTGCTCTCCCATACACTTACGTTCATGGAGGTCTGCCTTTATTATCGTATATACATCCACCTGAGAAAGACTAGCAAGGGAGGAGATACCCAGGAAAGGGCTCTTGCCTGATCATTAGTGCAACAGGACCAGAAGGAAAAATATATATGTCCTTCATGTGTACGTGATTGTGGGGCTGACCAATCAAGCCCAAAGAGTGGCGAGAACACACCAGTCGAGAAGCCCCTTCCAGGAATACTGGCATACACTATCCTCCTGGCACTCAGAAGACTGAGACTGGAAGCTCATGAATTCTAGTATAACCTGGACCTTGTCTCAGAACAAGGAGGAGAATGAAGATGAAGGGGAGGAGGAGAAACAGAAGAAGAAGAGGAGGAGGAAGAAAAAGAGGAGGGGAGGAAGAGAAGAAGAAGAGGAGGAGGAAGAAAAAGAGGAGGGGGAGGAGGAGGAGAAGAACAAGAACAAGAACAAGAACAAGAACAAGAACAAGAACAAGAACAAGAACAAGATAAGTAGAGGTAGGGAAGAGAAAGAGGAAGACCTGTCTCTGATTCTTAATGCTCTCAAGCAAGTGACAAGACATTGGAACATGCAACTGTCACTGATGCCCTGCTGTTACCTCCAAATAAGTGGAAATGGGGATATTCCTGAAGACAAAAATCTGTAACTATAGTTGACAGTATAACAAAGCCAAAAGCACATAAAGTAACCATCACTGCATATTCAAAACCCACACAATGCATCTCATTAATAGCCCTTACTGAGTATGGAGAAACCTCATTGTAAGTAAGTGGGAACATGAGGTTTCCAACTTTCCAGCATCTATTGTACCAGACTTCACATTAGAAAGAATGAAAGATGGCCAAGTACTAATTGACCACTGTGGTGATATATTGTTTGTAATCTAAGAAATAAAACTTACCTAAAGATCAGAGGACAGAGCCAGTCTCAGAGTATAAAGAAATAAATATAAAAATATAAAGAAATGCAAGTTGGTAGTTAGTCATTATAATCAAACTTGTAGTCATGTTAGGTATGTTTTCATGGTCAGACAGAGATATATTTTAAATAGACAGGTTGTCTTCAAACACTTCAGAGATCTACAGAATATGGCATTTAAGATGTTTTAATAAGGGGTTGGGGATTTAGCTCAGTGGTAGAGCACTTGCCTAGCAAGCACAAGGCCCTGGGTTCAGTCCTTGGCTCCAGAAAATTTAAAAAAAAATTTAATAAATAAAATAAAATAAAAAGATGTTTTAATAAAATAAGTTTCAGGGTTTCTTTTATGACTATGAGACATGTCTGCTCCTGGCAGCACCAATCTACTTCAGAGAAGATTATGGTTTTGAAGAAACTCCATATGGAGTTTACTTTCTTTGTGTTAAAAGTTAGCCACTGGGCAAGAAAATGTCCTTACCTCAACTGCTGACAGTATGCTGTCCAAATGGACAAGCAAGACACAAAATAAAAGACTGCCTAACTTTGACAAGACAAGGTAGGCCAGCTCTTCAGAACATCCTGCTTCACAGAAAAGTCTGTCAGATATACTAGACCTATAGGCCAAAGATGAATGCCCCAACATTGCAAAGGAATCTTGGGTGATTGTCCAGGCAGCCAGCTGTTTCTGTCATTTCTCACACTTTTTGGAAGTCACATTTTTTGCTTGCACTTCACTGTTTACTCAGGTAATATTATTTCTTTCTTGGGTTTTTGGTGGAGTTGAAGACTAGATAGTTATAGTTTTCCTTGTTAACAAATTCAGGAAAGAAACTCACTAAAGATGTGTGTAGTGGGTAGCTGTACCAGCTTTGACCTTGAAGCACTGCCCCTAGTGTGGCAGCAAGTAACTGCCACATCTGCCTATGACCTGCCCCTGGGGCATGGCCGAGAAGAGACTTCTTAAGACCTGAGATGTGCATGTGCTTGCTCTCTTGGCTCCTCGTGATCCTGGATGCTGGATTACAGACCAAGTCAGAGTTCTCCAGAGAACCATGCTGGACTGCACATCATCTCTCCCAGATCCTGTAACTGACCCCTTATTGGCTGTAAGTTACCCCTGAAATAAACCTCTTTTAATTACCAGATAAACTACATGGAATTGCCTCATTAATTGCCACTATAGATGTGTAAAGTGATAAGTTTGAAATACATCAAAAGATAGTTTTTGGTTGTAATACAAGTTAGTATAGAAAGTGAATTAGGTACAATACTTTGGACTCACCAAAATAGAGTAAATAATGAAGTATTTTCTCTGAATTTGTCAAATGCTTATGGACTGGACATTGTTAATATAGTTCTTGACTGTATATATTGAATATAGTTATCGTACTTATTGTATATAGTTTTTCTTATATTAGTTATAACCTTCTTTTATTATTTTAGACAAAAAAAAGGGGGAAATGTGGTGATATTTTGAACAAATAAAATTTGCCTAAAGATCAGAGGACAGAGCTAGTCAAAGAGTTAGCCACAAAGGTCAGGCAGTGGTGGCACATACCTTTAGTCCTAGAATCCTAGCACTCAGGGAGGCAGAGGCAGAGATCTGTTTGGGTTTCTGTGAGTTCAAGGCCAAACTGGGCTACATGAGATTAATTCAGTCTAAAAGAGAAACAGAGCCAGGCAATAGTGGCATACACCTTTAATTCCAGCACTTGGGATCACACACCAGCAGTAGGAAGGCTGAGACAGGAAGTGATATGGCTGGGCGAAGAAAGGAATACAAGGAGGGAGGAGACAGGAACACGAGCTCTTGCAGGCTGCGGAGTTGGTGAGGTGAGAGGTGGTGGCTGTGGATTGCTCTGCTTCTCTGATCTTTTAGTTTTCACCCTGATATCTGGCTCCAGGTTTTTATTATAAGACCATTTAGGATTCATGCAACAGATCACATCCAACACACCTAGCTCAACACCCCAAAACTATCTCTGTGATATTGGGCTTCATTGAATTTTACTACCCTTATGATATTTGCAAGCTATAGCAGTCCTCAAACACCATGGTGGGTTCTAGGACAGGGCTACCAGAGTCTAGAGTAAGATCCAAGAGTCACCCCACAACAAGATTGTCTCTATGCCAAACACGTGCTTCGGTGGAATCATTTATAGATGTGCTCTTTACCAAGCATGAATTTGAGAAACTAATCCTCCAAAATTTTCATCTGAGTTTTAAATGTTACATGACATGAAAGCAGTCCTAGAAAAAGATTCACAGAAGCAGATAGTTTTTGTAGTCTGTACTTAAGCAAGGGTTAAGATAAAATCGAACGCATTGCTTATTAATTTATACTTGTGTGCTGCCTTTCTGAAACCATGGTGAGTCTTAAAGGATAACTTGAGAATGTACGTTCAGAAGTCATTCTTCTTTATATTTGCTGCTGAAGACCTTGATGAGTGTGGATGACATTATTTCTTTCTTTTGATGACTTCTTATAAGATGTCATGCTGGGACATTAAGGCACTGATGAAACGCAGACCTGGAGATCTGGAGAAAGCTGTGATTCAGCAATAGGACCTGTAATGAAAAACCTTTTGGCATTTAGACTCCAAGAGCATCTGGAGGAAGCAAGACCAATTGTGATGCCAATTGGGAAAGGAGAGCAGTGAGCTAGCGGGCACAGTGGACACTGAGAAATCCAGATGTTCTACACCTCTAATAACAGAGAAACAGGCAGCGAATTCGGAAATGGAAACGCAACAGGTCAAGAAAGGCTTTGTCCTACGGAGAAAGCCAGCCTCCCAGACTGGAGGAGAAACCTAGAATCTGCTCATTAGTCTGTTGTTTATGAAATGAACAAAGCCAAGGTTTGTCAAAAACCCATGTTCAGAGCTGGAGAGATGACTCAGAGGTTAAGAGCACTGACTGCTCTCCCAGAGGTCCTGAGTTCAATTCCCAGCAACCACATGGTGGCTCACAACCATCTATAATGAGATCTGGTGTCCTCTTTTGGTGAATAGGCATACATGCAGACAGAACACAATATACATAATAAATAAATCTTTAAAAGAATTACAGAAATAAATCACAGTTGGCCAGAAGGGCTTCAGAGCTCAGTAGCTACTACAAAGGCTCACATAGCTCTAGTTGCAAAAAGAACCAGGCCCCAAAATACAGAATGCCCCAGAGACATGGAGCAAGGGAAGTAACAGTGCCTGAGAGTCAGAATTTAAAAGACAGAGTCTGACAACAATCAATGCAAACTAATAAATATTATCATATTTCCTGCTATGGTTACAGGGTCTTAGATCAATGAAATGATATAGTTTTAAAAATGGTGAACTTAAAAATACATAAAACACCTGTTCTTTTAGAAAATGTCTTGTATTAAATTTTAATGTGTTATCCAAATGTTCAATAGAAAGCTAAATTAGTTTGTCAGAATCAGATCCCATAAAAACTGCTTCTACAAAATAATCTTTTCTGATAAGTATGACTGTGTGTTAAGGACAGAGAAACAAGTCTAGAAATTTGGGGTGAGCCTTCACCCCAGTAATCACTGTTGTTCTGGTATCATACAGGAGTCCAGTGGGTAACATTCTATATCTCAACTTGGAGGTTCAACCATTTCATTATAGCAGCCAAGCTCGTATAACAAACAAATAATTAAATATCATTAATATCGTCTAATATTTATAGAAGGGAGAAATTCTTGTGCTTTCTTATAAGGGTTGTACGATACTTAAGGTCAGTACCAACTTAGATTATACAGTGAAAGTTAAAATTATATAGTGGAATTTTAAAATGCATGATTCTATGCAACTAAACAGTTTGTTAAGATACATGTTGCCCCAACAAGTGGGTTTGTGTAATCAGCTAAAACCCCACATAGTACACAAATATTGTGTGCAGATATTTTCTTCTTTAATAAGGAACAACGTCACAGGCCAGTGAGATGGCTCAGTGGGTGAAGGCACTTGTCACCAACCCTGACCACTTGGGTTTGACCCCCAGCCCTCAATAGATAGAAGAAGAAAAGCAACTTCCAAAAGTTGTCTTCCAACTGCCACACATGGGCAGTGGCACATGGACTTACCCACTCACCCCCAAAATCAAGCAATAAATATAATAAAAAAAATTAAAGAAACAACTTCAGGATAGATTCCAGCTATATAGGTGAGGGTCACCAGTGTCTTGTCAGACCTTGAGACTAAACTTGCTTCCGCCAGCACATTTCACGCTCCATCCAAGCCCTTCTCTCCATTACGTCACATTAAAACAGCAGGATGGAATCCGCCATTCACCAAACGCCAATAGTTAATCAGCACAGGAGTGTTATATCAATAGTGAGAATTTTCTGGACCAAGAACAAATGGTTGTAAACTACCTAATCACAGGACACACCAGAACATACACACACATCAGCGTTGTGGATGATAGTCTATTAGGTACTCTGGGTGAATTTTAAAAGTTTATCTTTAGAAAATTGCAAAGTTGGTTTCCAGGGAAAGCCCTTGTTTACTGCTTTTTTCTGACCTGATTTTTAAATACCCCGGTGAGATGACCTTCCTGGAAGTCAAAGACATGCACTGATTGTAGATCTGTTTTAAAAGTAATTTTAGCACTATGGTCACCACTGTTCTGCTTTGAATATTACAATTATGTCATTTTAAAATGAGCTTCGGGGAACTCCAACATCATTAGCCAACTACGGAGAGCAAAGGCTGTAAAAGTCCAACTACATTTGATTTTAAGAGTTTTGCCTGGGTCCTTAGTGGTTCTTGATAAACGCGGGGTTGTTTAAACAGCAGGGTGTCGAAGATAGTCCAGAATATCATCTCTTGTCCATGAACTTTTGTTTGTGTTGTTCATCCTGGATGTGACTCCACGTAATTCTCACCATCCAGTCATGGGCTAAATGTGGTTAAGGGCAGTTCAAAGTCAGAGGGAGAGGGAGAGAGAGAGAGAGAGAGAGAGAGAGAGAGAGAGAGAGAGAGAGAGAGAGAGAGAGAGAGACAGAGAGACAGAGAGACAGAGAGACAGAGAGAGACAGAGAGAGACATATATGCAGTATCCTGAACACAAATGCCCAGCTAGTTAGCTTCAGTGACAGGATATTTATGGATGCCATGCAAAGAATTCCATGAGATCTGAGGGAGGAATAGCGAGCTTCATGCAAAGCTAAAACAGAAGTGGACTGAAACCAAGGCTTCCTTTTCCATAAGCCACAACCTGGTTGGTCCTTGAGCATCTCTCCCGTCTGCTCATCAGTATGACTTCCTGCTCTGGCCCCTCAGCTTCCCTGACCATCATCAGCTGAAGTGATCCTTTGTGAGTCTCAGCTCAGCTTTCTGAAAGGGGAGGGCTGGGAGTGAGTCAGCAATGTGACCCGTGAAGGATCCCTCTGGGTTCTCTGGCAGGATCAATTAGATCAGAGAAGACAGAACACAAACGTGATTGTGTAGCCCTCATGAACAAGACAGACAAAGACAGGCATGTGCAGCCGGACATCTGTGAATGATTAACTGCTACTACTCAAATGGCAAATTATAGCATAGCTTCATGGTATATTATTTTAAGGGTTACTTTATTTCGTCAGATTTTTTTGTTTAGTTTATGTGTATATACATGTGCCTGAGTGAGTTTATAAATGCCACATGTATACAGGTGCCTAAGGAGGGCAAAGGTCCTTAGATCCCCAGGAACTGGAGTTACAGGCTATTGTCAGCTGTCTGATGTAGCTGCTGGGAAATGGACCTGTGTTGTTGGTTGTTGTTGTTGTTGTTTTTTTTTTTACTCTTAGGCTCTTGGCTCTTTTAGGGGGCCCACCACCCAGATCCTAAATATATCACACACATGGAAGCTTAGTATTTCTCATAAATGCCCGGCCTTGGCTTGGCTTGTTTCTTGCCAGCTTTTCTTAACTAATTATCCCGTCGACCTTTTGCCTGTGGGTTTTTGCCTTTCTCTTACTTGTGTATATCTTTTGTTCACTCTCACTCCATGGCTGGCTGGGTGGCTGAGTGGCTGGCCCCTGGTGTTCTCCTCTCCTTGTTCTTTTGCTCCTTCTTGTCTCAGATTTTTCCTTCTACTTATTCTCTCTGCCTGCCAGCCCCACCTATCCTTTCTTCTGCCTCACTATTGGCAGTTCAGCTCTTTATTAGACCAATCAGGTGTTTTAGACAGGCACAGTAACGCAGCTTCACAGAGTTAAACAAATGCAACACAAAAGAATGCAACACATCTTTGCACCATTAAACAAATGTTCCACAGCATAAACAAATGGAGCACATTTTAAAATAATATTTTACAACAGACCAGATCCTTTGCAAGAACAGTAAGTGCTCTTGACTGTGAGCTACCTCTCCAGCCTCTGGCTTTACAGTACCACATTTTTTTAAAGGTACTGTTTTCTTGGTCAAATTTCAAACAAAAAAAACCCCATGTATTTATTTATTATGACTTTAATACAAAGGACTGGTAGCATAAGTGGTGGAAAAGCTGAAAGTGAGATAACCAGTGTTCAGTACCAGCAATAAGCTGTTGCAACCCTAGGTTGGAAGGACAAAAAGAAAATTTTTACCCTGTAGATACTAGAACCATGACCTACCTGTCTGGATTCATTAAAGAGACATGGAGATGCTGCTGAGACAATCAGAAGGGGACAGGTACTCCAGCAATTCCATCCTTTTCCTGCTCCAGTCTCCTTGTACCTACTATTGGCCTGACATAGGAAGCCAGCGTCTTTGTATTTTTATGACCCTATAATAGAATACCATGTTTAACACCAGCTTAAACAACGGACATCTACCTCTTGCAGTTCCAGGGCTGTGATGTTGAATGTCAAGGTGCCAGCATGAGTAGTTCCAGTGAAGGCTCTTTTTCTAGCTTGTAGACAGCTGTCTTCTTGCTGTACCTTTTATGTGTTCAAATGAGATAAATACAAATCTTTCTCTTCTTACAAAACCATGGCCCTGTCGGATTAGGGATCCATCAAGGTTTGAATGTGAAAGGCTCAAGTATTTAATGGTTGGGTCTCAGCCAGTGTCACTATTTTGGGAGGCTGTGGAACCTTTGGGAAGTGGAGCCTAGGGAGGGGAAGTGGGCCACTGGGTGAGAGAGTTTAAGGTCTCATTTCCTACTGTTTCTACATCATGGTGATAAGCCCGGATGTGAGTAAGCAGCCTCATGCTCCTGCAGCCACAGCTTCAAGCAGATTTCACTGCTATGCCTTCCCCGGCAAACCCTGACTCCAAACAAATCCTTCCTCCCTTGAGTTGCTTCTTGTCAAGTATTTGTTCACAGCAGTAACAAAAGTTGCTGATACAGGCCCTACTTTTCTGACCTCATTTATCTTCCAAAAGGTGCTGTTTCCAGATACTGTCATAATGGAGGTAAGAATTTCAACACATGAATTGGGTGGAGAGGGCACAAATCAATAGATAGCATCATAGAGAAATGAGACTCCTCCCCGACCATCTACCCCACCCCCACATTACCAACATACACTAACCTACTGGTAAACAGAGAGGGCAATGCATAGATCTGAGGACAAATAGTGAAAATCCTCTTAAGAACAAATTTGTCCAGGGCCACAGAGCCACACTAGGTCCTAATCTAAGTTTTCTAATTCCAGATCCAGGGGATAGTGACTTCCATTGAGACCACACTGTAAATATCAGCTCTCCTGGGCTCATCTTTTTCTGAATTTCCACGTCATTTTTATCCTTTGTCTTGTGATTCATTAAAGATTGATCTCTTGTTTTATTTCGGTCTTTCGTGTGAGCAATATCCCACTATTCTATAGCTTTCCAAGTGTGTCAGTGTGTTAAGATCAAGAATCATGAAAATTTCAAGTGGCAGCCATCTCATTGTTGATACATACCGTACATGCTAAATAGCCACTTTAATGGAATGATTTCTCCCACCACATTATCAAATGTTGTAAAGAATAGTTCCACGTGCACAGGGACGACACCAATAGACTTGCTAACAAGGAAGGGAGAAATCTCAAAGGGCCTTAATCCTAGGCGAGGAACTACAGCCACCCAGGGAATGCCGAGAGCAGAGACATAGCCTTCCCCAGAAGAGCACGCCAACTGGCTATCCAATACCAAGGGCTCGGCCCTGAAATTATGTGCGTACAAGTAACATTATATAGACTGTGAAGGTTCCAGTTATATTTAGGAATATATATATATGCATATATACATAAACATATATATATATATAAATAATTAAAGTAAAAAAAAAAAAGGCTATGAGTGAGAGAGAACAAGCTGGGAAATGTACCTGGTATGGCTGGAGGAAAGAAACAGAAGAGGGAAAATGGTGTAATTATATTTTAATTTTAAAAAATATTTTAAAAGAATAGCTCCATTATTTCTTTTAATAAAACTATTCCTCTGTTTTCCAAAACGCCATATTCCTCTAGCTCTCAAGAAAAATTTTCTGCAATTCCAGGAAATTGTCCATATAAATATTGTTTGTTATTTTGGATGTAATCTCAAAGAGTGATCTATTCATATGAATCAGAAACGTTAAGCACCTTCCAATTCCCTTCTGTACTGAGTTATCTATCAGGGTTATCTTTGATTGTGGCCATTATTCATCCTTATTGGGAAACTGTTGTCCTCTTTTCTCATGACTGTCCTGCAAATATCTGGTCTGGTTGCTATTGATTAGCAATTTATCACCCCCACTCTTACCTACAAGATAAAATTGTAGAAAAATCAGAAATTCCTTTGCCAAAATCTCCTGAAGGTGCAATGATAAACAGTTCTCTTTTTTGTCACCACCTATGTTATGAAATATGGCCTGTATTTTGCAATCACTCAAAACATTATTAGCACAATGAGATAGAAACCAAAGTCAAATTCTACATTGCTTGTATTAGAATGTTTAGATCACACTGCCTTTGACTTAACCCCAACATGGTTGCCATTCTGAGCCCTGTCATGACTAGCAATTCCCATCTTCAAGTATCCCAAAAGATCATACAAATGTCCTTCCATATTCCATTGTATTGAACACAGCAAAAACTCTTCAGCCCCTGTGAGACCATCAGTGAAGTGATCCATCGCTTCTCCATTCACTCACTATCCCAACCACACTCCCCCTGTGAGATCATCAGTGAAGCGATCCATCGCTTCTCCGTTCACTCACTATCCCAACCACACTCCCCCTGACTTTGATGTCTTCTGTACCCAGAGCTTCTCTTCCTGCATCTTTATTCAAGCTAAAGACCACTTCTGGAGGAAATAACGTTATTAGGCTCCAGATTTCTGTGCCTTCGTCTTTTTATGATAGAGAGGTTCTGTTTTGTCAGGGTTTTTTGTTTGTTTGTTTGTTTGTTTACTAAGATTTTTTTTTTGCTTTTTGTTTTTTTTTGTTTGGTGTGTGTGTGTGTGTGTGTGTGTGTGTGTGTGTGTGTGTGTGTGGCCACAAATGACAGAGGAAAGCCCTGGGTCCCCTGTAGTGAAGTGACATCTTCAACGAGTATTATTTTCCTCTAAGTTTTAGGAGAAACTAGTGGTTCCTGTCAGACCCATGCTGACTTTATTTGTTTTTAAATTTTTACACACTTCAGAGAAACCCTGTCTCGAAAAACCAAAAAAAAAAAATTTTTTTTTTTACACACTTATAGTTTAAAACTTCAAGTAACCTGGAACAGTATAGAGAACAAAATAGGTCTCCCTCTAATCCCTGATACTCAGTCCTGGGTTTCCTATCCCTAGGGTTTTACTTTTGTTGATGTGGTTGTCATTGTTTTAGATTTATTTATTTTACTATTTTGTATGTACGAGTGTTTTACCTGCATGTATGTGTGTGCACCACATGGGTGCCTGGTGCCTGCAGAGTTCAGAAGAGGTCATCAGATCCTCAGGGTCTGGAGGTACAGACAAAAATATGGGTTCAGGGAATTGAACCTGGGTCCTCTGCAAGAACAAATGCTCTTAACGGCTGAGCTATCTCTCCAGCCCACTTGTTTTTTCATTTTTAATATTACCCTGTGTGTTCCTTATTCCTCTGTATACCAAAATTCCTGACAGAAACACCTTAATGGAAACAGAATTGATTTTGGTCACAGGTTTGTTCCATCATGGCAAGGAGGGTGCAGTAAAGCAGAACGGCTTGCATTATGGTAGCCAGAGAGCAGAAAAGGAGACTGCTCTCCCTTTCTTTCCCTCTTCCTATTCCTCCTACACTCCCAGCCTATGGAATGATGCCAACCACAGCCAGAGCACCTAAGTTAGTTCTCTCTGGAAAAAAACCTCACAGACACATTCAGGGGTGAGCTTCTCTGATCTCCGAGGGACTTTTTAGTCCAATCCCATTGATACCGAAGCTCAGGCACCACACACCTCTTTCAAACTCGATCTTGAATCCATCCATTCTTTCCCAGTCCACGTCTACTTTCTGAAATGAAGCTTTTCATTATCTCTGAGCTGAATTATTAAAAGACCCTCTTCACGAGCTGCTCTGCAATTCAAAGTTATTTTCTAGGCCGATACACTTAAAACATAGATCCTATCACACTCTCCCCAAGCCCCAAGCCTTCCCGTTGCTTTGAAAATCAAATTAGAACTTCGGAGAGGGCTCCAATTTGCGCACACCCAGTGTGCGCACTTCCGCCGTCTTGGCTGCGGAGACATCACACTTGTCCAAACATCAAGGTCTTCGTTCTTGGCCGGCCCTCTTCCTCTCACTCTGAAGGCTCCCTCATTCTCCAGTGTCACCTCCTCAGCTCTCCCTGTCATCACGAGCAGGTCTTTTCAGTTATTTTCTGTCATGTTTCCTTCAAAGCAACAGTCCTGACCTGTCATCTTTACATGGATTTGCTTGCTGATTTTTCTCTCCTCACGAAATGTAAGCTCCACACATGCCTCCGAAGCAGATTAGTCAAAATCAATCGATTTATGATGCAGCAAATTTAATTCAAAATGCTAGTAGCTGAATACAGTAAAGATTGCTTCTGCATCAAAATATGTCTTGAACCTCCATTGCTCTGTGAGGCATGCCTTCAACAAAAGAGAGAGCCAGAGACACTGGTTGGACATGTGCGTGTGGTAGTGATGACTGGCCCCTTCTGCTCGGTGGCTCTCTCATTCCTAGACTCACGGAAAATGAACTTTGCTAAGTAGATCTGCGATTAGCTCAAGCTCAGTGTGAGTCCATCTGGGTAAAAGAGGCACATGTTTTTGTTTTTGTTTGTTTTGTTTGGCCTCACTGTGTAGCTCTGGCTGTTCCTAGAACTTACCAAGTAGACTAGGCTGGCCTTGAGCTCATAGAAACACATCTTCCTCTGCCTCTGCCTCCCAAGTGCTGGGATTAAAGGCGTATGCCACCACACCCAGCCAAGTTTACTTTTTAATCTTTAAAAAACATAATACTAACCTCCCAAATGGATTCCTTTTCCTCAGTAGCTGTCAAGGAAGTCAGCCTCACAAGACTGACTCCCCTGAAAAGGAAGATCCCCAGAAGCACAACTTGAGTAGTAGACACAATCCTTCTGCCTGAGATGATGTCCCTGCTGCACCCCCGTTTGTACCCTTCTGTTCGTTTGTCAGAACATGTTTGCTCTGCCACCTGCAGTAGAAAGAACCAGGTGCTGCTCTTACTCATATGGTTGCACAGTACTTGAATTAATGCATTGTATGATGCTGTCGATCCTCCATTTTCATTCACTTATATAGATTATGAGCTCTTGGTTAGTCCTGACTAGAAAGTACTACCACAAAAAATCTGATTTCTCTCTCTCTCTCTCTCTCTCTTTCTCCCCCTCTCCTCTCTCCCCTCTCCCCTCTCTCCCCTTTCCTCCCCTCTCTCCCCTGTTCTCTCCTCTCTCCTCCTCTCCCCCCCCCCCCCGCCCCTTCCCCTTATCCCCTCCCCCTCCCCTCCCCCTCTCTCATTTATTTATTTATTTGTTTGTTTATTCTTTTCTTTTTTTTTTTTTTTGGTTTTTCGAGACAGGGTTTCTCTGTGTAGCTTTGCGCCTTTCCTGGGACTCACTTGGTAGCCCAGGCTGGCCTCGAACTCACAGAGATACGCTTGGCTCTGCCTCCCGAGTGCTGGGATTAAAGGCGTGCGCCACCACCGCCCGGCTATTGTTTTCTTTTTGAGACAGGGTTTCACTGTGCAGCTCTGGCTATCCTGGGACTCACTCTGTAGACCAGGCTGGCTTTGAACTCAGAAATCTGCCTGCCTCTGCCCTCAAGTGCTGGGATTAGAGGCGTGCACCACCATCACCCAGCTGGTTTATTTTTCTCAATGTGATGATCTCCAGTTCTATCTACTTTCCTGTAAATGACATGACTTTGTTCTTCTTAATGGCCAAGTAGTACTCCACTGTGTAGCACTTAGTAGTTGACTGTTGTGTATTCGGATTTGCTTTGTTTGCTTGCTTTACTATGGACAAGAGCTGCCACAGGTCTCCTTGTAAACCTAATATGAAAAATTGCATTTGGTGTTAAACCTTCATTTGGATTTAACACAAGAATGAAAGCACTACGTTGAAAGTACTGGTAAAAATCCAACTGTGTGTTGAATTAATTCACTGAAACACTTTTTCCCATCTGGAACTTGGATTTCTGGTTTATGCTATCCTGTGAATAAAGTGATATAAAAAACACTTGAGATTCCGAGTTTACCAGCTTTCACACTAGAATTGAGAAATTATCATCAAGCTACTTTGCTATTGCAAAACCATCCAAGTCATGGACACTTGGTTGCCAGAAGATACCAAGCTGGAAAATGAGCTAGAAGAATATGGTATCTGAAGACAGCAATTGCCCCAAAATTTCTTCTTAAGCCTAAATGCTTCCAACGAAACAAATGAAAAAAACATCGGTCCCCTTATGTGAAACAATTTGAGATGTTCCGGGTAGATTTTACTCATAGTTTATCTCTGTTCTGTTTGATGAAGTAGTGATTTGATGGATTGGAGAAATGGCTCAGTGATTAAGAGCATTGGATGCTTTTCCAAAGGACCGAAGTTTGATTCCCAGCACCAAAACCATCTGTAACTCCAGTTTTAGGAGCTTTGATGCCCTCTTCTGACCTCCACAACACCAGAAAAGCACACTCATGCACAATAATTAAAATAATAACTTTTTAAGTAGTGACTTAAAGCTGGAGAAAGGGTGCATGGGGAAAATGCTTGCAAGTTGAGCATGAAGAACTGGTTCTGATCTACAGAACTCATGTAAAAGCTAGACATGCCAGCCTGCCCCAGTGCTAGAGAGTGGAGACAGCAGGTCTCTGGGGCTCATTAGCAGCCAGTCTAGCCAAATCAATGAGCTCCAGGTTCACTGAGTGACCCTGTCTCAAAAAATAAAGTGGAGAGCCATAGAGGAAGGCACTCAACAACAGCAACCTTTGGCCTTCACATGTGCATGCAAGGCAAGTGCACTCATACACGCATGCATACACACAGACACACGTAATGATTTTACACTCTCATAGAATAAATAGAATAAATAGAACAAGACTCTTTGTTTCCCAATTTACATAACTGACTTCATGTATTGACATTTACGTCTACCATGTTATTGAAAACTGTGTTTCTTCTCATCAACTGAATGGCAGAATGTTATACAGTCCTGATATATTGTGGGGAAAATGACACAGTAGGTTTCTGGGTAAACTAAAGGACCCAGCAGAGTTTCTTAAACTGTGTTCCATGGATCACTGAATTCAGAGTCACACAGAATGCTGTCACAAAGTCAAATTCCTGGCAGCTTCCCAGACTTTCTCCTACATCTCTAAGGACTGAGGCATGGAACCTGCTTGTTAGCTCTCTAGGTGACTGATTCTTACATGAACTAAAATTATATACCCAACACATAAGGCGTTCCTGCCCTTGCTTGGCTCTGCTCTGAGGTTTGCTTCTAGACTTTGAACTACCCCCCAAACAACCTAAAGCAAGACTCACCTGGCTGATAGCTGAGCAGAAGTCTGTCAAGATAACTGCTCTGTTAACATTGGGACTCCGGGATGCTGCCAGAATTGCCTCCTTTATCATTGCGCCTATTCCTTTCTACAATATTTTTAGTTGGAAAAAGGAAAACAGCTATATGAAACAAAATTATGCATATATTAGGTCAAATTTTACCTGCACACATCGCTCTCTGAGAATAGAATATATTTTCACAAGTTGTATTAAGTCTTTCAGTTCAATATCTATTATCTTCTTAATTATCTCTTCAGTGTATCAGTCATTTTGGCCTAAAAGAATTACATGATTTCAAAAATGTATTTTTTAATTCTATGGAGACATTTTTACAAGGATATTTTCACATGTGGAATAACTTTGCACATAATTTATCATGTACTCGATGCTAGCTTTTGGTTCACTCTTCATAATATTAAGTTATCTGGGCAAAAAATAATATATTAAGATACTGTGGAAAGTGTGAAGACAACTCTCAGAATAGGAGAAAATATTTGGAATCCATATATATTAAGGGATTGGTACTTACAGCATATAAAGACCTAAAACTTAGCAACAATAACAAACAACCCAACTGAAAAATGGATATAAGACTTAAACATTTCACCAAAGAATAGATATAAATATAGACAGCCTGTAAACACATTAAAATACTCACCATTGTTAGCCTTCAATTTCAAGTCAATGCCACAACGAAATACCCCTTCACACTCATTAGGATGGCTTTATTTACAAAATGGGAAATATTAAGATTGGCAAGGATACAGAGAAACAGGGAAGCCTTATGCTTTGCTCGGGGATGTAAAATGGTGTGACTATTATAAAAAAAGTAATACAACAGTTCTTCAAAACATTAAACACAAAATTTACCAGAGGATCCAACAGTTCCATTCCCTCAAGGAACTAAAAAAATAAAAAAAGAATTGTACACTGATGTCTATTGTTACATTATTTACAATAGCTGAGAGGTAAAAAACAACCTAGTGCCCACACACAGGTGGATGGATAAACAGAATGTGGCATATACACACAATGAAATACGCCTTTGATGCTGATATTATGACATGGGAGAACCTAGAAGGCATGTTGCTAAATTAAATAAGCCAGGCACAAAAAAAAAATTACCTGCTTCTTATCATATGAACTATCTACAGCAGCCAAATCCATAGAGATAGAGAATAATATAGAGGTTTCCAGGTGTTAGTAACAGGAGAAAACTGGAAGTTGTTGTTTTCATGGGTACAGACTTTCTGTTTGGAGTGATGAAAAATTGTGGAAATTGATAATTGTGCAGCATTGTACCTGTGGATGGTCTCAGAACTATACACTTTAAACTGGATAAATGGTGATGTCCACGGCGTATACACCTTCATACAGTTGAAAACATACTAAATAAACACAACTGCATAAGTATTTCTGAGGCAGGCTATCAAGTCTTTGGGTATATGCCAATGAATGGTGTCACTGGGTGATGTGGCGACTGTACTTGGGGCTCTTTAAGAACGCTCTACACCGATTTCCATAGGGGCTGCAACCATCTGTGGTTCCACCAACAGTCAATGACAGTTCACTTTCCTCACATCGCTGCCAAGGTCTGTTATCACTTGTTTCCTTGATCTTAGCCATTCTGACCCGGGTAAGATGAAACCTCTAAGTAGTTTTAATTTGCATTTCCCTAACGGTTAAGGTTGCAGAACACTTTGAGAGATTTCTCAATCTTATGTCTTCTGTTGAGCACTCCATGTTCAGATTGGTAGACCAATTTTTGATTGTCCACTTGTTTTCTTGGTTCTTCGTTTTTGTACATTCTATATTCTAGATCTTAATCTTTAATTGGATAAATAGATGGCAAAGATTCTCTGCGAGCTCTCCCTTCCCTAGACTGTTCCCTTGCTCTGCAGAGGTCCCATCTGTTGGCCTTAATTCCTGAGAAGTGAAATCCTGTTCCGAAAGCACCTTCCTGCACCTCCATCCTGTAGGGTACTTCATTTGTTTTCATATAGCCTGTTCAGAGTTTCAGGTTTCACACTGAGGTCTTTGAGTCAACACAGGTGATTTTTGTGCAGGGCTACAGATAATGGTCTAATCTCATCCTTCTATATGTGGTCAGTTTCCCCAGCACCATTTGTTGGAGACGCTGCCTTTACTCCAGTGCGTGTTTTTCTTGCCTTTGTTGACGATCAGGTGGCTGTAATTATATGCACTCAAGACTGGCTCTTCTGTCTTGTTCCACTGATCTGCACGTCTGATTTTTGTGCCACTGTCATACTTATAACAGAACCATATAATATAACTTGAAATATATATATAGATATAGACATAGATATAGCTAGATTTCTATATATGAAATCTATAACCATATAGAGTTCTATAACTTGAAATCTGATATGATAATCCCGCCAACATTTCTTTTTGCTCAGACTTGCTTTGATTATTCAGGGTCTTTTGTGGTTCCATACTAATTATACATATTTTAATATATTTCTGTGAAGAATGTTGTGAGGATTTTAGTCGGGATTGCACTGACTCTGTGATGGTCATTTTCACAATATTAATTCTATTATTCCATGAGCACAGAATTTCTTTTCATCTTCTCGTGGCTTCAGCCATTTCCTTCTTCTGAGATTTGAAGTTGTCAGTGTAGCAGTTCACTGTTACTCTGTTCACAAATACCTAGGAAGCAAAAACAGCCAAGATGTCCATTAACTAATGAACAAATTATGGAAATGTGGCATATTTATACACAATGGAATTCTAGTCACATGCAAAAAAAAATTAAATCATGAAATACACAGGTAAGACAAATGCCACACATGCTCTCTAATTTGTGGATTCTAGATCCTAATCTTTAGATTTGAGGTATAAACTGGAGTAGCTAGAGAAGCCAGGAAATTAGAAAGGGACTGGAGAAGTGGGGAGGATCTCTACAAAGGAGACTGGAAGGGCGGTGTTATGAAGGGAAAAGGGAAAATGAAGAAAACTTCATTGAAAAGGGAAGATAATACAGGAGAACAAGGAGGAAGTGGGGTGAGGGACTAACATTAAGGATGATTAAAAGAGCCATAAGGAATCTTAAAAATATACACACACATGCAGAGAGAGAGAGAGAGAGAAAGTTTTAATGGTGTCGACCCACCTGGTGGGATACTGTGCTCTCATCCCACCAGGAGCCATAGACTAATTAAAACCCTATAACCAGGCAGTGGTACCTCTCTTTGATCCATTGGCGAGGGGCATCCAAAAGATCCTCAAAATAATATAGGCTAATGCCATTGCTCTTGATTATGGCCAGAAGATCAAGGCAAGATCCTACTGCTAAAGACACCACACTTGTCGGACACAAAACTTGGAGAAGCTGGTACTGACCTGGTAGCCTCCAACCTGGTAGCCTCTTCTACAAGGACTAGCTCTCATGGTGTCAGAAGACTTGTGCAAACTGCCAAGGGAGAAAATGTATCACAACCCCAGCCAGCTGTCAAGCCTGAGAGCTACAATGGGACCAGTAAGACAGCCCCCAATGTTGCAATAATGGTACTTGTATCTTGGGAACAAGCAACAGCTGGATAGCTGGGCCTAAAGCCTGCTCAATTAGATGGAACCCATGCCTCATACTATAATCCTAACCAAGAACCCATGGCTGAAGAGGCCATAGATTCTAGAGGAGCATCTACTACTACCATATTACTAAAGTGAGTTTCCAACTGCCTTCAAAATACTCATCCCCATGCCATAGATAACTGCAGCTCTCACACTCATCCAAGAAGCTTTTTTTTTTCTTTCAGCAGATGGAGACCAGTAGAGAGATCCATACCTAATCAAAATGCAATGAATAATTGACTGTTGGGTGCCTGGTCACAAATGGGAGATCTACCACACAACTCCTGCACCCACAGGTCAGGGGACATCATGAAGTGGGGTGCAGAAGGACTGTAAGAGCCTGACGATCAGGATGACTTCTGGATGGAACAGGGATGCTGCTCCATAAACTCTCAGCAATAAGGCTGCCTGCACAAGACCTGCAAAGACCATCAACATGTCAACAAAGCCCCACTCCTAGATGATGAGCTACAGAGCTGCAGCTAATGGCTGCTGAGGGAGGAAAGAGTTGTGTTGATTTTGGTTGTTTTTTGGTTTGTTTTTGTTTTTGTTTTCAAGGACAAGACCCAAATCCAAAATTGATCAGCTACAGCACATGCAAACAGGGCATCACTAATGGGACTCTGTAGATTATGTACCCCGCCCCCCAAGACACACTAAGAAGGAAGATGAGGTCGTGAATTTCATCGGTCAGGGGATAGGAGGAGTTGCAGGAGGGAGAAGAAGTGGTGTAGCTGGAGAGTTTCTCTTCGGGTCCCACCAAGCCCCCTGCAGTCCGGCAGTCCACTTATAAAGTAATCACTCAGATGCTTATATTATGTATAAACTGTATGGCCGTGGCAGGCTTCTTGCTATCTAGTTCTTGTATCTTAAATTAACCCATTTCTATAAATCTATACCTTGCCACGTGGATCGTGGCTTACTGGCATCTTAACATCTGCTTCTCATGGTGACGGCAGCTGGCAGCCTCTCTGCCTCCTCATTCCACTTCCTAGAATTCTCCTCTCTCCTTGTCCCGCCTATACTTCCTGCCCGGCTACTGGCCAATCAGCACTTTATTTATCAATCAATCATAGCAACACATTTTTACAGCAGAGTGGCAGTGATGTAAATGTAGTATACTCATCTATAAAATTGTCAAATTAAAAAAGAGGAAAGATATTCTACTACTGTTTAATAAAACAGCCTAGTCCTGTTTGAAACGTCACTAATCAAATTTGAGATATGCTTACTAAGTTTAAAATACAACTCAGTTTCAAAGAAGATAAGCATCTTAGTAATTTCTTATATCGATCACAAGCTGAAATGGTTACATTGCATATATACATTATTAAATAAAACCCATCAATATTAATTTAGCTTATTTCCTCAAATTTTTAAACTGCAATTTTAAATTAATAGGCAGGTGTGAAGATGTCATGACACCCATTATTTGTGAGTTCATTAAAATAAGTTTAAAAATCATTTAAAATATACAAAACATTTTAAAATAATGCATCTGCTTTATTTTTATTATAATTTCATTACTATTTGTTTAATTTAGTTTGGTTTGTTTTTGAGACAGGGTCTCACACTGTGTCCCAGGTGGCCTTGAACTTGCCGTAGTGTTCTTTTTTTTCTTTCCAAGACAGGGTTTCTCTGTGTAGCCCTCGATGTCTGGAACTCACTCTGTAGACCAGGCTGATCTTGAACTCACAGAGATCTTCTGCCTCTGCCTCCTGAGTGCTGGGATTAAAGTCATGCACCACCACCCTCTGCCTCCCGAGTGCTGGCATTAAAGTCATGCACCACTACCGCCTGGCCACAGTAGTGTTCTTGCTACAGCCTCCTACAAGTGCTGAGATCACAAGCTCGAGACATGATATCTGAGAAGACAATGCCTGCACAGTGTGAAACATACACTGTACTAATAATGATGTATTCAGTTCTCAAAGGGATACAATAAGACAGAAAGTTAAATGAAACAAAAAGAAATTTCAAAAGCTTCCCATTTTTCTTCAGTTTCTGAGTGGCATAGCTTTCTGGAACACCAGTTAGAACATTAGTTAAATAAATTAATTGACCTTGTTTTGTCCAGGTCTTGTGAACACATTCCATGCTATTGAAATATGGAGCAGTACAACTAAGTTGGAAAGAGATGGTAATGTTATCCACAGAGCCAATGCGCATTTTATTACTTATGAACTCACTTGTGGAAATTATATATGCCAAATAAATACATATTTTATCAGTGTTTTACCTCTTAGGAGACAGATGACTTATCAAGAAATTTCTGACTAGCTTGTTCCCATCTGTATTCATACGTAATATAGTAACTGTTAGTATCAATGTATCTTTATATTTCCTGGAAATCCCCTCAGACATTGATGAAAATATTGAAGATTTGTTATTTTTCTTTTTCATAACTCCAAAAGAAATTTTTAATGATAAAACTGTTACATACCCTATAATAATAGAAAATGTCAAAAGGCATTCATAAATTGCTATGTAAGATCAATAACTAGATAAACAGAGAATTGATAAACAATATAAGTGAATGTCTCTATTATCTAACTGAAATAGACAATGACACAATTATTACTTCTGTAATGTATGAAAAGTTACTGTTTCTGTATTAAGTCAAAACTGCTACTATAAGATCTTCAGTATTGATTATTATCTCTCCTGGGATCACATAAAACATTTTAATATATTGATGCAGTTAATATTTCACTAAGTTATTTCCTATTTCTTACAAAACTATAACCCAAATCAATCTTTTTAGGATGCTGCTTTGTCTTAATAGTCTGAGCAGTTTTACTCTAAAATGATGGCCAGACTTCATTTTTCTGTAATTACACTACTTTTGATTTTGAGTTTCTTTTTTAAAAAATTTACACAAAGTACAGAGTGTTTTGTTTAGAGTTTCTCTTGCTGTGAAGAGACACCATGATCCACGGCAACTCTTATAAAGGACAACATTTAATAGGAGTGTCTTACAGTTCAGAGGTTCAGTCCATTTTCATCATGGTGGGACATGATGGCATGCAGGCAGACGTGGTGCTGGAGAAGGAGCTGAGAGTTCTACATCTTGATCTGTAGGCAACAGGAAGTAGCTTGAGGATAGGAGACCTCAAAGCCCACCCCCACAGTGACAGACTTCTTCCAACAAGGCCACACCTACTCCAGTAAGCCATGCCTCTTATAGTGCCGCTCCCTCTGAGCCAATTACGTTCAAACTACCACACAGAGTATAAAGCAAGTGTTTCAAACTGATTCTCTGAACAGCAGCTTGCAAATAAAAAACTATTGACTGATGGCTACAAGAAACTGTGAATATTTAAAGCTGATCCTAGGACTTCTCCTATATTTGAAATTTATGCTAATAAAGAGTCAGTTATTTATTCTCAAATCTATTGGTGCAGTTTGTACTGGTTGTTCTATTACACTTTTGATTGTAGAAGAAATTAAAATGCCTCAAATTGCTTAAAAATTTAGTTGCAGAATGTCATCCTTAAATTGCAACTGAAGCTGTGAATCTCCAGAAAGACCCTATACTCACACTGCTCTGCAATGTCATATATGGCATGTATATACTAATGAAATGGAAACCAGGAAATCCAAAGCAATGCACACGAGATTATAATGTATAGAAAAGAAGAGTACAAAACTTCAACCAAGGACCAAATCAGAGGAAGAATCTTGGCTCCACCGGACCCTCAGTGAACTAGTTCATAATATACAAACTTTAGTTTTAAAATGTACTGCCTATTATTTGTATTATTTTTCGTCTACTTTTTGAATTAACTAACCAATAACAGTAATGATCTTAGCAGTGTTTACTGTCCTCATTACCATCTAGAAGGGCTTATCTAATTGGTGCATTCTAATACAAGCCATAAAAATTTTAATAGCACAAGATTTATGTTATTTATTATATAACACACAAGGAAGTTTGGCTAAGTGTAGAATAATAATTTCTGATATCTTAAAACGCTACATTTAAAGTAATGCTAGCATAAATTAATAGAAATTATTAAATAAATCATTATTCTTATCATTTAGCTTTTAAACGATAAAGCAGAATGAATTAATTTTGTTTTTTTAAAGTTTTATTATTTATCCATGTGTATATGTGTGTAAGTATGTGCACATGAAATATGGGTCCCAGGAGGTTAGAGGAGGATGTAGGATCCCCTGGAGCTGGGTTATAGGCAATTGTGAGCATCCTGTATGGTGCTCTGAACGCTGGTCTTCTGGAAGAGAAGTACATGCTCTTAACTACTAAAGCATCTCTCCAGCCTCTGACTTCGTTTTCTTGTGTTTGTTCTAGTTGCAGGGCAGTGCTGTTATTGTTTTAACAAAAATGGACTAGGCAGCGGTGGTGCACACTTTTAATCCCAGCAGTTGGGAGGCAGAGGCAGGCAGATTTCTATGAGTTTGAGGCCAGCCTGGTCTATAGAATGAGTCCTAGAACAGTCAGGGTTGTTACACAGAGAAAATCATGTCTTGAAAAACCAAATATATATATGAAGGAGGAGAAGGATAGAAATGTAATACAGTTTTTTTTTAGGCATTCCAGGAATTAAAGTATAAATTCTGGAAAAAGGAATCTTTTAAAAGCACATTTCACAGCTTTACTGAGATACTATTGGCACATAATAAGCAGCACCTTTCAGGAATTTAAAAGTAAAATTATCTTTTCAATTTTACAACAGGGTCCTTTTAAAAGGAAAGTATGTAAAGTATACAGCCTTATAAGACCTAAGAAGTCATCAAGAAACTGCCAGCTGGTACTTGGGAGGCTCAGACGGGATCACAAGTTTGGAGCCAGCCTGGGCTGCACAGTGAGTTCTAGGCAAGCTTTGTAGATCTAACAACACCCCATCTTTTTTTTTTTTTTTTTTTTTTTTTTTTTGGTTTTTCGAGACAGGGTTTCTCTGTGTAGCTTTGCGCCTTTCCTGGGACTCACTTGGTAGCCCAGGCTGGCCTCGAACTCACAGAGATCCGCCTGGCTCTGCCTCCCGAGTGCTGGGATTAAAGGCGTGCGCCACCACCGCCCGGCCACAACACCCCATCTTAATAACAGTAAGACCACCACAGAAACCTACCAAGCTTCCAGAGTGGTTGTACATGTTATTCTCATCTCACACCACCAGCCGCTCTGCTTTCTTGCTACTGGGCAGTACAGTCTATCTTTTCAAACTTCAATGTAAACTAATATCGTCAAGAGTCTTCCCACGTGTTAGTTTGTTATTAACGACTCCTGGTGAAAGCTCTTCAGATCTTTTAGGCACTCTCCACTGATTTATTAGCATTTATGTTACTAGGTAGACATTCTTTCTTGGATATATATTTAGAAAACCATTTCCTCCAGACTGTGGCTTGCATTTTGAACTTTATAACTGTGTCTTTTAAACAGGAAGGGGTTTCAACATTTTGGGTTTTTCATTTTTTTCTTTCCTATTTATTGTTTCTCTACATTTTAAAGAAGCATTTGCCAAATCTCATATTGTTAAGATTTTTATCCTGTGTTTACTTCTGAAACTTTTACGGCTTTGCTGCTTAGGTTTAAGACGGTACTGTATTTAAAGCGGCTTGTGCAGATGTGTGAGTGAGGTAAGAAGCGGGCAGTTTTTGTTTTTGTTTTTGTTTTTCACTTTTTCTGTCTATTCTGTCACTATTTGTTGACAATTCTAGCTGGAGGGGGAGATGCTAACACGGGTGGCGGATATGATCAAAGTACATTGTATTCATCTATGGAAATCTCATAACAAATCGATTTTCATACTGTTACTATATGTTACTACAAACCCTAAAACAATTACCCTTTCCCTTATGGATTTGTCTTGGCATCTTTATTACTTATTTACATATGCCATAGTTAACTTCTAAATTCTTTTTTTCAATTCCATTGATCCTTTCTGAAGTTTTTTCAAGCAACTAATTGTTAACTTTGATACTAGTAACCGAAAATTAAGTTCTCTATTGTAGTAGATTTCATTGTTTGACCCACAACATTCCAATGATACTGTCCTGAATCCCCGAACCTCTGTGTGTGACGTTGTTTGGCGCTAGTCTTTACAATGGTGCCCGAATCACTAGTGTGGACCCTAATTCAATATGAATGGCATCTTTTTATTTTTTTAATTATTTCTGTGTTGGGGGAGGGGTGATTTTGTTTTTGTTTTTTGTTTTTGAGACCAGAAGCCCTGGCTCTCCTGGAACTCTCTCTCTGTAAACTGGGCTGGCCTCGAACTCACAGAGATCTGCCTGCCTCTGCCTTCCGAGTGCAGGGATTAAATGCATGCGCCACCATGCCCAGCAAGATGGATGGTATCCTCCCCCTTCCCCCAAGCTGAGGACTGAATCCAGGGCCTTGCGCTTGCTAGGCAAGTGCTCTACCACGGAGTTAAATCCCCAACCCCAGATGGAAGAAATCTGGAGACACGCACAGAGCACGCGTACAGGAAGAATGCTGTGTACAGTAGACCCCCCATGGGACACAGAGAACAGCCTACAATGGCTCTCTGAAGGAGTCTCCGACCCTTCCTAACACTTCAATTTTGGATTTCTCCAGAGCTAAGCTACTTATCTGTGGTTCTCTACCGTGACTGTGCTAGAAAGCTAATGCATTGATCCACAACTTTGGAAATAAAACACAATGTGACACATCTGTGGTGACGTGACTAAAATTATTTCTGACTGAACTTACGTTTCCTAAGATTTTCTCATAATGTCTATTTCATCTGCAAAATCGATGACCGATTTTAACCATTACCATGATCTTTCCTCATTACGTTAGCGTTCCTGCCATTTCTTCGGTGAGTCTTTCTTTCTGGAATCCTGTGCTGTCGCTCCTCTTGTCTTTCCCATAGAGCAGATTTATAGTAGCAAACTATAAAGTGTGCCCAAACATCACTGAGGCACTAAAATAACTCCGACAGCACCTAGGACTGAAAATATTTTGATAAATGACTTAGAGCAAGCAGCATGCTTTCATCAGAACAGAAAGTTGCTGAACTCCAAAGAAGAGTGGATCAGTAGTTTCATTATTGAACAGGGATGTAAGTTTCGGTGACGTAGAATTCTTCTGGACAAAAAAGACAGATGTTGCATGACCATAACAGGAACCTTTTATCACACTGCCCTCCAAAACTTTTAAAAGTTATGGGTTCGGGGATGCACTGAGTTTTACAGTGCTCACAGCACCCACATGCCACAGGCACAACAAACCTCACCTCTAGCCATCTCCTGCTTATTCTCTGTGCCACTGATTAAAAGTTAAGCAGGCACTAACTTTCAGAGTTATTAATCTTTCTATCCATGTACCCTATCTTTCTAACTAGATTATGAGTCCCTTGAGGGCAGAGACTTATTCGTAGCCTTTTTTGTAACTCTGTTTTATGGTACTTTATAGTGGTTATGATGATAAAGATAAAAAGAAAAAATGAATTAAAAATTAAATACAGCCATAGCACATTTTTTTCAGTGTGATTAGATATTCAGAGTGTAAATCAGACATGGTCCTCAATCTTGGATATCAGAGCAAGTGAACACGCTCTGAAGAATGTAGTATTCAAGCAGATTTTAAATTTCAGAAGAAAAAGACTCTTGCCACATCCTTTTTATTACATCATGCTCAGTACCTAGCACAACACTGAATATCATTTACTCATAGAAAAATTGCTTTGATAAATGACTGATAGTCACAGATACACATTTTCTCAAAGACACGTGGACAGTTAGTCAGTGGTTCCTAAATCTTGGATATCATAGACCAACCAAATTCCATAGACACTCTTGGACCTAACATAAAGTTGTCAATCTCTCAACTGGTAAGAAAGGATGTTAAGGAATATGGTTACCATTATGGTTGTAATAAAAGTCATTTTAATACCAAATTAATATAAAGGATATCTATGCCAGGAGAAGAAACAGTTCTTTAGATACAATACATATAACCTCATTTAGTAAAAACCATAGTGCATGCTAATGAGATGTCATTAAATGGAAATGGTACTGTACCTATGACTTTAAGTAAGGATTATACAGATGTAAGTGTTGTCTCCATGGAACAAAACAGAACAGCAGTAAGCAGGTTCTGGGCTTTAGTACCGGACGTGAGCGCTGAGCACCAGGAATTCAAACGGCACAAATGACCTCATTCAGACAGATGAGAATTCAAAGTGCTTCACTAGCTGTTATGGCTTGGATATGAAATGTCTCCGGACAGGCTCAGTATATACTCTGACCCAAGCTAATAGGGACATTTCAGGAGGTGGTGGATCAGGAGGTGGGGCCTGGTGAAAGGAAGGAGGACACTGGAGACACAACTTTGAAGGTTACACCTGGTTCACAGTCCACTCTTGGCTTTCTGTTTCTTAGTGGTCAGGGTATAGGCTGCTCTGTTCTACTATGCCCTGGCTACCATAATGACTGAAAACACTGAAACCCTAGGGTCAAATAAATCCTTCCTGGCTTAATTTGTTTATATCAGATATGTTCTCAGAGTAATGCAGAAGTAACACCGTAGCCAGACTCACTTGATGAAGCATGAAACTTCAGAATAGTAGCCGCAGGAACAGGAACTGGAGCCACAAATCTAGTGACCAGCCTAAGGGGCCTCTTGGGGACAGTGTATTTTAGTTGCTCCTAAGAGAACCAATTTACCAACATAAAACTATGTTCTAAATTGGAATGCTCAGAGTGCAGAAGAGATGTTACCAATTCCAAAAAACGTTAGAAAAAAATTAACTCCAAGTAACAGGAAGAGGAAATTCCCAATGAATATGAATCTATAATAAAGAAAAAATCAATGTGTAACGGAAACTGTCACCATTGCAGAACAAACGTGAAACTCAACCAATAGAAGATTCACTTCCAAAGAAATGGAAAGAATAAAAATCAGGAAAGCGCTTGGAAACAAGTTCACCTTATATCTTCAAAGGTAATGAAGAGGAAAGCACCATTTAAAAGAAAAATTATGAAAAAAAATGGGAAGAAGTTAAACATGAACAGATGGATTTTTAAATAAAAACAATTAGCAATTCTAGAAATAATTAAAAAAAAACAGTCATTGCTAGGTGTAGTGGCACATACCTGTACTCTCAGCATTGGGGAAGGTAAGGCAGGAGAATTGCAAGTTCAAGGCCAGCCTGAGCTACATGGCCATTGTCTCAAAAAACATAGTCACTAAACTTGATTTTTCCATAAGGCCACAATGCTTTAGAATCAACCCTTAACACAGATGGGAAAATAGATGGGAAATTAAGCTACGTACTAAATAGATTGAGAATTTACTTCATGCATTGATACGAACTCTAGAAACAAAGTCTGGAGAAAGTGACTAGAACTTTCTAGAATTTAAGTACATAACTTGAAAATATATATCTTTATATTGTGCTATTAAACTTACTTTGTTACTTTACTTTGTACTGTGTGTGTGTGTGTGTGTGTGTGTGTGTGTGCGTCACAGTGTGCATATGGAGGTGAGAGGACAACTTGCAGGAATTTCTTCTCTCCTTCCACTAGGTGAGTCTTAGGGATCACACTCATGTCATCAGGCTTGGTGGCAAGCACATTTACCTACTGAACCATTTTGCTGACCTCCTACACTGTATTTTTTTTAAGGGCTGATAATTTTTGTTGTCCTATAGCTCTTTGAATACCCAACAAGTATGGTTCCCTCCCCCCCGCCCCCTTGAGACCATTTGGGCCTTTGTAACTTGGTAGAAAGAGTATGAGGTAACTTCTATGACAAGGTCATAAATGGCAATCATTTACTTCTGAGTTCTTTCTTGAGACCTTTGCGCCCTAGGCATAGATATCATGTGAGTTAGCCATGAGAGGTCATTATGAAGAGGAACCTCGTCCTCCAGACTGCAGTCCTATCTAAGTACCCAGCTGAGAGCCAACACCAAAGAGGCAGCTGCAGGGAAGAGCCATGTTGAATTCAGTTCCCGCATTACTCAGTGAAGCCACCAGTGTATCACGTATGGAGCAGAGACATGTTCTCCCAGCCGAGCTCTGAACAAATCATATACTTGTGGCCAAATAATTATCATTGTGTCAAACCATGCGGTGTTTCTCAGTCTATTATCCAACAGTAGATAACTGAACCACTTATATCAGCATGAGAGGTTACTCCTCACAGGCCTTCACAGAAACAGGGGGGAAAAATACTATTTAAAGGACATGTTGAAAAAGAAGAAAAATCAGTCAACAAGGAGTATTGATACAGGAAGAAGTGATGCACAAAGAAGTTGGCATAGTTGTTGGCAGATCTAAGTAACCATTAACTGAACTATTTAAAGTCACCTATTAATTTGGGACCCAACTGTAAAGCTCCAGGGGATACAATGTAAAAGACAGGTTTGTACATAGAATGCTGAGCTTATTTTATTAAATATCTTAGGTATTTCTAGAAAGTAAAAGTTAAGCGTATGGAGTAATATGTGAATCAATAGAATGTCTTTTTCATGGCTGAAAATAGTCACGTAGAAAACAATTTGGCATTAATGTATTTTTTAAAACGTAAAACTACTTTAGAAAACAATTTAACATACTCTTATAGAATTGGCCATACTTGCCCTACAAAATAGCATTTCTGCTCTTGAACATATTTCAGCAAAATTCTTCGCTGTGTGCTTGAGAAGACAGATATTAGAACTTCAGAAATGCAACCATCAATGGAAACAAATCAGAGGCCCCCGGATAAACAGAATAGGTTTCACACTCATAGCAGTAAAGATGAGTGAACCTTTACTCCCTGTATAACATGGATTAACATTGTTAACTAATGTTGGATGGAAAAAAACAAGTCCTTTTCAAAACTTTCTTTGTATTAATGTGTTCTTTTACATGATTTCCTTTCAACAAATCACTCTTTCTGTAAGGTCCAACAGTACACAGAATTAAGCATCCAATTACATATGCTTGCAATAAATTATTTTTAATGTGTAATTTTAAAATATGCTTTTAGGGGCTAGAGAGATGGCTCAACCATTAAGAACATTTGCAGAGGACCTGGGTTTGGGTCCCAGCTCCCACGTGGCAGCTCATTACCAACAGTAACTTAGTTCCAAGGATCCAAAACTACCTCTCGTGGTCTCTACAAGTACCAGACAAACATGCAGCACACATACTAACATGCAGGCAAGTACTCCTTCATATAAATCAACAATTAAAAAATGATTTTATATCTTCCAAAGGCAAAGGTAAGTGTGGACTTTAGGATAGTGGTTATCTAAGGGACGTGGTGGGCAGGGAGGGCACTCCAGGACTAAAGCCGATGAATAAGGTTAATATAAATTATCAGTAATTTTAAAAATTCTTGGTTTGGGTGTATATTTATAATAAGTTTTGAAAGAAGGGTGAATAAAAGTAAATTTTAAAAATAAAATAGAGCCGGGCGGTGGTGGCGCACGCCTTTAATCCCAGCACTTGGGAGGCAGAGCCAGGTGGATCTCTGTGAGTTCGAGGCCAGCCTGGGCTGCCAAGTGAGTTCCAGGAAAGGCGCAAAGCTTCACAGAGAAACCCTGTCTCGAAAAACCAAAATAAATAAATAAATAAATAAATAAATAAATAAATAAATAAATAAAAAAATAAAATAGAAACCAGGGCTATGGATATAGCTCAATAGCAGAGAGCTTGTCTAACATACTCCAAGCCCTGTGTTCAAACTCCAGTACCCAAGTAAAATAAAATACCAAACTAGCACGAAGAAAACAATTAAAGATCATGCATGAGCCAAGAATGACAATGTGCTGTGATTAATTCAATTTCTTTGCCTGTGTTTCAAATAAACCATGGTATGTCGATTTAAAATCAATGAGAAGAACTGAAAGACTACCAAGGGGGAGAGACTATGAAGAGGGGCAATGTCGCCCCACTTCCTGTGACATTCTTGTACTTGGAGTGTGTATTTCCAGTTTTCAATTACTGGAGACCAATC